AATTACACGGAAAGCCGCTCGGGAAGCTTCGGCGGACATTACACAGGAAGCCGTGCGGGAAGCTGCGGCGGCCATTACACAGGAAGCCGTGCGGGAAGCTGCGGCGGCCATTACGAGGAACCCCACGCGCGGGCGCCCTCGCAGCACGTCGAGCAGGGGGTGGCCCCCCTCAACCCGCGCGCGCTGCTCGTGCGGATGGCGGGGTTGGGCCGCGTGCGCGGGACCCCCGCGGTCTCGCGGCGTTCGCACTCCCCTCATCGCCCTCTCGCGAGCGCGACGTGGGGGGAAATAATCGGAAAAGGCGCCGGCAGCCTCACGCCGACGGCGAGTGAGGACCTCAACCCTCACGCCTCCCTTCAGAGCTCAACGGAGGGCCACCCCCTCTTCACCGGCCCCCTGGACGACAGCCCGATCAACGACGAGGAGCCAATCCCCTCCGAGGCACCGAATCCTTTCATTTAGTGCAAGTTTTGTGAAAGGATAGGGAGGAGGGAGAGGGCGGCAAATAAAAAAGAAGAAGAACCCCGGTGAAAAAAAAAAGAGAATGTGTGTATGCAACTGGGGATTATTGCTTCTTTTGTAAAAGTTACTCAACACATTTGTTCTGTCTCCCCAGTATGTAAACATGAATATCACTTCATAACAGATGGAGGTATTGGTTAAGGACCACTACAACACAAAAAAAAAAGAAAAAAGAATTTTTTTTACTTTTCAGCATTACTATAGAGAGACTATTCTAGAGTTTGGTTTTTCCCCATCTCCCTCTCTTTACCATCGGGAGGGGGGAGGGGAGAGGTCGTGATCAAGAAAAGGAATGAACAACTCACTTGAGAGCCCACCTACACACCTCTACACAGACCTTCTAATTGTATTCAATGGTGCTTTGAGTTCATCTCATGTGCAAATGGGAGCTCGATAAGAATGGACTTTTCATCGGGTTATTTATTATTATTTTTTTAGTGTCGTAGAAAATGGCATCCAGTCCCCTCCACATGGACCATACGAAAGATGGCTCGCGAGGGATATCACCTAAACCTTGCCGTAAGGAATAGATAGCGTTAGGTAACGTAGCATGATACTCGGTACGCATGCATGTTTTCCCTGAAGGTATGGAGCAAAGGTGACTAGAGTGTATTTGCCATGATTCACGGCATGTCATTACTTTTCATCAGCCGTTTGTATTAGAGCTCTGTTTTTGTTTATTTTTTCTAAAAAAAAAAATTCGAAAGTAAAAACAAAAATGAGTCGAGTAGAAATTATAAAAAAAAAATGGAAAGAGAAAAATAGGTCGATCAGCACACTCTCCTATAAGTAACGTACTGTTACTACTTTGATTCGAGTAGAGAAAGAGGTGTCGAGGACCTCTGAAATCGATGCACACGGCGAAAACACATCTAAACGTAGTGAATAATCCGCTCCTCATTACTTGGGAGTTGTAGCATCACTGTTGGTTATCGTGATGATTACTCCTATTATAAGTGGATGTTTTGTTGCCCTGTGTGTATGCATGTGTGTGTCGGTTTATGCGCGGGTACGTTTCCTTATATTCTTATTTTTTTGGAATTCTTTTGTAATATCATCTTTCTCCCATATTTCCATCGGCTTCCTCTCATTGTGAAAACGAGATATCGACTAGAAAGAAGTTAAAGTAAGGCTAATAAAGAAGCTCGTAAAAACAATAAGAATTATAGATTCAGTTTTCCTCCACTTTTGTTCCTCTTCGGGAGCTTAATTATGTATACGTGTGTGTGTGTGGAGAGAGGAAAGGTGGAATGAAAGAGGTCACCACATGTGCACTGTTCGGTTTATACTACTGCGAATTTTATCTCGCAATCGATCTCCTGGGCAGTGTACATGATCAACACATATATATCACTGAATATAGCGCCGAGCAGATTGTAAACATGTAGAAGGGAAAAAAAGTTACTCATAAAGAATGAGAAGGGGGGGGTCCCGCATTGCTTACATTAATAAAAACGATAATATGGAATATGGTCACCTATTTTTACTCTCTCCATTTTTCTTTCAGATTGTGACGTTAGGATTGATAGCTTAAAACGCATTAGAATACTTCGATCACTATTTTATAACGATGAGTACCCTAGACTTTGTGGTCAGGGCACCACCACCGGTGCCCAAAACACGTGGGCTGTCCGCACACTCCCATTTTAATTGCAGACCTCCGCGGTCGCCTCCGCGTCGTTCTCGCCGGATCAATATCGTGTCTGTCATGGAAGAAAACCTCACTGCCTGTCCAGGCGATCCAATCTACAACGAAAAGGAAAAAGAAAGGCGGGCACCTTCGCAATCCCCCATGTTTTGTCCCTCCTCTAACCTATTATCGACGTGTGAATCTATAAACTTCATAGAAGAGAACAGCTCAAATGCAAACAGCATAAGCTTTCGAAGCGAGATGACCACCCTCAACACCCAGCGACTGCGTGAAAAAGGAGACGAGAGTATTCGTTTCACCGTGCACGACATCGTCTCGGCGCGGCCGACTGTGGCGTCGAATTCGGGGATTTCGTTTGAAATTCAATCGAGTACGGACGAGGAGCTGCCGGAGCCTCGGCGAACGGCGCCGGCGCCGATATTGGGCTTCTTCCCCCGCCCCCTCCGCGCGCAGTCGGCCCGACCACCGGTGCCCACGCCGAGAATGGCGCGGCGGGAAAACGCAATACGAAAATCTCCGGAGTCCATAGGAAAAGGCTCAATGAAATCCTCCCAAGAGCTCAGGCAAAAGGACACAATGAAGACCAGTACGGGGACCATGGGGAACGGCACAACAAAAACCAGTCAGGAATCCACGCGGGAAGGCTCGATTAAATCCTGTCAAGAGCCCAAGCGAAAGGAGCCAACAAAGAATAGTCAGGAATCCACGCGGGAAGGCTCAACAAAATCTTGCTATGAACTCAGGCGAAAAGACACAGCAAAGGGCGGTCAAGAGTTCATGCGAAAAGGCTTAACGAAAATCACTCCGAGGTCCACACGGGAAGGCCCAACAAAATCCTTCCAAGAGCTCATGCTAAAGGGGTTAACGAAGACCACTCAGGAATCTACGCGGGAAGGCTCAATGAAATCCTGCCAAGAGCCCAAGCGAAAGGAGCCAACGAAAACCAGTCCGGGGTCCACGCGAGAAGGCTCAACAAGATCCTGTCAAGAGCTCAGGCAAAAGGACACAATGAAGACCAGTACGGGGACCATGGGGAAAAGCACAACAAAAACCAGTCAGGAATCCACGCGGGAAGGCTCGATTAAATCCTGCCAAGAGCCCAAGCGAAAGGAGCCAACAAAAAATAGTCAGGAATCTATACATAAGGACCCAATGAAAACCAGTCAGGAATCCACGCGGGAAGGCTCAACAAAATCCTGTCAAGAGCTCAGGCGAAAAGATATAACTAAAACCACTCAGGGGATTGTGGGGAACAGCACAACGAAATCCTTCCAAGAGCTCATGCTAAAAGGCTTAACGAAGACCACTCAGGAATCCACGCGGGAAGGCTCAATAAAATCCTGCCAAGAGCCCAAGCGAAAGGAGCCAACGAAAACCAGTCCGGGGATCATGGGAAATGGCTTAACGAAGACCAGTCCGGAATCCACGCGGGAAGGCTCGATGAAATCCTCCCAAGAGCCCAGGCAAAAGGCGCCGCCAAAGACTAGTCAGGAGCTCATGAGTGTCTGCCCGGCGGAGTCCACCGTGCCGCGGAGGGTCGTGCCGATTCTGCCGCTTGCGAAGCTGAGACGGCCCAGCCCGACCAACAACGAGGGCGAGCACAATGAAGAGGAGGAGGAGGAGGAAAGTTGGCTGATGAGCACCTCGACGAGCCTCTCGGCCGGGCCCACGCCGCACGGGGCCGAAAAGCCGGCCGACGAGGCGCTGCGCGGCCCGCCAGGCGCCGTCCTCGTGGCGGAGCTGCGCGGCTGGACCGAACTCGCCCACCCGCAGGGGGCCCTGCGCGGGCTCCTTGACGGGATGCGGGCGCGCGAGGCCGCGCTCCGACGCGGGGCCGCCCGCCTCGAGACCCTCACGCGAAAGGCGGCGCGGCTCGACGCGGCGTGGGAGGCCCGGGGCGGGCTCACGGAGCCCTCGCCGCGGGAGGCACTTTCGACGCTCGGCCGCCTTGTGATCCCCACCTTCCCCACCCCCAGGTCCCAATCCAACGACATCTCCACCTCGCGATCTGGCATCTCCCCACGGCTCTATCAGACGCCTCGGCACGCCGCGCGGAGGTACCACCCCCTCGGCCCTCCCCCCGTGCGCGCCGTGAGCGTCCTCAGCGCCGAGGACCTCTCCGAGAAGGACCGCCAGGCGCACGCGGACGAGCTCCGGCGGTGGCGCGAGGAGCGCCGTCAGCTGCTCTCCGAGCGAACCCAACTGGTGCAGAAGAACAAGGAGCTGCACTTCCACATGCGGCGCGGCACGCACATCAAGCCCATCGCCGCGGTCACCCCCACCCACCCGGGCCCGCCGATCCGGCAATTCCCGCTCAAACACTTCGCCACGGTCGAGGTGGACGGCCCTAACCCGCTCGCGAAGCTGCGGTTGGAGGCGAATCGGATGGCCTGCGAGCTCGCCAAGGGCCGTGCGCAGCACTACGAGGCCACCCTCCACGCGACCCGCACCCGCGCGTCCTTCGAGGCCACCCTCGAGCACTTGAACATCACGCGCAACCAATGGCGCACCCGCTTCGACACCGTCACGGGGAAGATGAGGGAAACGATGGCCTGGGCCCGAAGCCTCGGTGCCAAGTTGGCCGCCGTGAAGGGCCGCGCCAAACCCACCCCAGGGGATCGCCTGAGCATCACCCGCGAAGACCTGGAAGCGATTCTCGACCCACACGCACTCAAAGGCCGGAACGACCCCGGGCGACTGCTTGCGATGCACATCACTAACGTCGAATCCATGCTGAAGGAGGGACGGGAGCGACTAAAGGAAATTCACACAGCCACCATGCAAGGCCCGCGCCAGGCACTTGTGTCTGGCGAGCGACGTAGGGAGTAAAAGCCGTGATGAAAAGACTTCGCCAGAGTTCTCCCTCCTTGGCGGTGCTTCGCCTTGAAGAAGGCGGCGCGCATAGAAACAACAAACACCTGAACAACCTCAGTCGATTTGTGTAGGTATATAGATTGATGCTATGATTTTCATCATAGCATGCAAAACTGAGTGATGTTGGCGGTGTAATTACTGTATTGGTAAGATATTGTTGCCTTACTACTGTAACGCTATCAGCTTCCTTTCAATGGAGAATTCCTTATTTTTTTTCCGAGTTTCATAGTCCTCTGGTAATCAAAGTGCTGCTAAAATACATCTATCGTTATTATTTTGAGCAACAGGCGAAATCAACCTGTTATAGCAATCAATATGTGCTGAGGTACATTTCTTTTTCCCAATTTTTTTTGTTTTAATTGATTATCCCCTCGCGGTATTGGCGTCTATTTTCTGATAACTTTCTCTCACAAATTTTCATTCCTTTTTCTTTTTGCTATAGCTTCTAGGCGGAATAACAAATTAATTTTACCTACGCCAGGTGTATTAAAAAAAAAACATTTACTTTCTAATTTCTATTCCAACATTGGTATTTTTCTTTATCATATAAGAGTCTATTTGTTGAGTATGGCACCAAAATCAAAGAAAGGACGTGGGAAAACGGTTAAACTAACCGACTTCAACGAGAACTACGTACCAGAGGATGCCTTAGACTGGGCCGATGACGACTGGATGATCGAAAATCAGGAGCAGAAGAAAGACGAAGAGTGGATCGCCAGACGCCATGAGTTCAGCCGCACAGCAAACAATGCCTTAGGCAAGGAAGAAAGCTTCCGCACGGCAGACATGCTGCAGCCGGACACAAAGAACGACTGTGAGCTACACCCGCCGTACGTGGCCCACTTCGGCAACCTGCGCAACGGCACCACCGAAGACGCCTTCCTGGATATGTTCAACAGAGACGTCGTCGTGACGCACCGCCTGATCTCGCAGGATGGCAAGACGTTCGCCTTTGTAGAGTTCAGCTCCGAGCAGGCCCTCCGCGTGGCCCTCTCCTTCGACGGCACCATCCAGCGTGCGCGGAAGATGTATGTGGACTTGGCCACCACGAAGCAGATTGAGCGGCTTCTGAATCGGGGCGGCGGGGGCATGAAGCTAGGGATCACCCGCGATGGGGCGGGAAATGAGGCCGGGATGCCCGATGTGGAGTTCTCCCGCGACGCCTTTGGCGGGCAGCAGCAGCCGGACTCGCCGATCACCATCACGGACAGAAGCAACTTCGGCTCTCGGCAGGATTTAACCACAATGGGGGAGTTTTCCCGCGACATGTTGGGCACCGCCCAGCCCGCGTCCCAGCCTCAGTCCAGCTTTCTTTTCTCGGATAATGCGAACTCCCAACTTGACCTGGCGAACTGGCGAAACGAAGAAACGGTGGTGCAGCCGGACAACCGCGGCATGCCAGAGCGCAACCAGAGCATCCCCAAGTTTGAGCAATTCCGAAGCGGTACCAACACGCATACCGAAAAGAACAACAAGCGAAACATCCCAACGGCGTCAATGCCTTCGGGTAATTGGCGTGATGAGAAGCCCGTTGAGATACCGCCGCCGCAGGAGGATGACAACACCGTATTGAAGAAAAGAGGGGAAGCCCCTGCGGAGATGGGCAGAGGACGTGGCAACGGTCGCGGGCGCGGGCGCGGTGGGGGTCTCGAAAAGACTACCACAAAAGACCCCTCCCTAGCTGAGAAAGACTGGTCGAGCTTTCGGAAGTGAACATTGCTTAGGGAATACATGCAGTATAGAAATCAGAATGATACGGGATAGCGCGTCATTGACAAACACGTATAGTTCGAAATAATGCTTAATACTTTTTCATTCTTTTTTTTGCATCGATAAGTATTCATCTGTGTGGATGAACAAGAATTGTGTGTTTAGCTTCGAAGTAGTAGCGGAGCTATGTGATTTGGCTTGAAAAATAAGTTGGATTGTTTAAGCCCTTCCTGTAAAAAGAGTTTAATTAGGTAAGCCAATTAGTAAGTTAACGATAACGTGAAGGTACGGTAATAGATAATGTTGCCACTTAAAATTGAAATGTCGTGTGTCGAGGTCAAAATTAACCTTGTAGTGTGAGAATGTGCTCTTTGAAAGGCCTAATATGAGGGTGTAAATTTTATCTTTGCTCACGGACTTTCGTGTCTTACCTTTAATTTCAGTAGAGTAACCAAAGGAAGGGGAAAAAATAATAAGTTAAGCCGAGTAACAAATAGTAATAAAGATTTCATTTGAGTGTTTACTAAGCAACACTTTAACAGATAACCTATCAGACATGAGGAAACTGCTAGTCGTCTCATTTGGAATTGAATGAAGTCAAATGAAAATATATAGATAAATTTTTTGGCCTATTTAATAACTACCCTACAAGACATAGTTATCGATTTTCCAACACACATAAAACCCAGTCATAACCAGGCTTTGTCATTTGCTGCATGAGGTGTCCCCTTTAGGGGTGCCATTCTCACCGCCACGAGAATGGCCAATCGTTAAAAGGCAATTGTGGGTATGAGAAAATAAGATAGATTTATATAGCTATTATTGTCTGTTACTATATAATAGAACCTATTTAAAAGATATATAGATATATTATTCTTATTTTTATTATTACTGAAATGCTAAAGAACGTAATCAGTAAACCTGCCTGTTAGTAGGATGTCATGACAATAGCCTTGAGCCTGGCACCTCTGATCGCGTTCACAATGGCAGGGACCGAAGTGATGAGAATCCAAACAACCATTCCACCCAGCAAACAATAAAACGCAGTCAGTGTCGGGTACTCGTCGGACTGGAACGGCACCTTGCAGTTCATGCCAAAAATAGAACACAGAAGGTTCAGGGGGAGACATGTTGTGGAAATCATAGCAAGAATTCGAAGATTCCAATCCAAGTTTGCTGAGCTCTGCGACATTCGCATCATTACGCCTGTCACAAAGTTCAGGTTGGATTGGTTCAGCAGATCGCGAGCATCGTCGAGGAGGTTGCTTTCCTTCGAGATTTTAGCCAAGGTGTCCTTGCACAAACCCATGCTGTACTTGTCCATCTCTAGGAAGTTGGTACACACCATGGGACTGAGTAAATCCATTAATACTTTCTCTTTCATAAAGAGGCGTGTACGGAAGGCAGAGATACGCTGCCGCAGGTTCGCCACGCGCCGCAGAAAGTCCGGCTGGTCGCGCCGACCGGGTGCGATGAGCAGGGATATCTCGTCAATGTTGTCCACCTCGTTCAGGAGGGCACCCGGCTTGTTGAGCAGCATCCCATTGGAGAAGCTCAACAACACGGAGAGGCCGACGCCGGGGTTGAACTTTCCCGACGCGGCCTCGGCGTAGCGCCCCTCCAGGTTGTGCACCATCTCGCCGAGCCCAAGGAAGGGCCCGTGGTGGAAAGTCACCAGGAGGCGCCTGGTTGCAATGAAGGCACACCAGACCATGCCCTCGCTGGCGTCGAGCGTCTCCGCCGTGACCGTCTCCGGCACCATCCCCCCAAAGTCATCGCCGGTGGGATAACCAGGCACGGCCTCGGCACCGTCCACCTTCGTGTCCTCGTGGATCGAGTTTCCTCGCAGACAACTCACACTGCCGGCGACGTAGTCCGTGGAAATGGGTTGCATCTGCACAATGTCTCCTTCCGTGCTGTTCACCACCGCGCTCAACACGGTCTGGGGAACTTGAGTACCAAATGATATTCCATTGAGAAGCTCCCAGTGGGACGCTTTATGGTCGCCCTGCACATCAATCCAAAGCGCTTCACGAGTGTTATTAGCGTGCCTTATCAACCCATCCAGCGAAGAGAAGTGTTGTGAGCCGTTGGCACTGTCAAAAGTGTAGTATTTACCGATCGATCCTTTGCTCATGGAGTGTTCGAACATGCAACCGTTGTCTGGATTTTGGTGCATTGTTTTTTAAAGAGGTGGGGAAAAAAAGACGTTGCCAATAATTTGTGCCTCAAATTTTTTATAGATCAACTCAAACGCGACCATACAAATATAGAAATAAAATAAGATCCAAAACTTACAATGCGGTGGAAAAACTAAAAATTATAAATCGCTTTTACAATTTCCTATCTATCATTGAATTGAAATCATGAAAAAAAACAAATATCCTAAGAAAAAAAAATTCTTTAATGTAACAAGAAAAAAAAAGGTGAAGCAACAAAACTTAAAATTGGGGAAGTAAATCAAAATAGTATGGAAAATAAACAAAACAATGATGTAGCTCCCCCATCCATTACTATCATATAAGAAAATTTCATAATGTTCCACTTGTCAACAGTAATGAAAGTAAAGAATTAATTAGTATGAGGTATCAATGCATAATGTCACATTGTCTAATAAATATCACAAAGATGGTGATAAAACGTTAGAAATTAAGGTCATTTGTCTCACCGTATGATTTGTGGGGTGAATTTCCTTGTCTACATGGAGACTTCATCTCAATTCAACAGCTTCAATGCCTCCCTCTGCGCGTGTGTGAGATGTTCCGGGAGGCTCACGAGATATGTCACATAAAGATCGCCGCGTTCAGAGGGTACGTGGTGCCGTGGCATGCCTTCCCCTTTGATTACAAACCGTCGCCCATGCTCCACAATGCCTGTCTCCTTCAGAAGGACCTCATGCTGATCCAAATGCTGTAGAACACGCTCGAATCCTAACAACGCCTCCCGCAGGCTAAGGGTAATTTTGGCATGCAGGTCGTTCCCACGGCGCTCGAAGAGGGGATGCTCCGCGGTGACGATGGTCACCACAACGTCCCCAGGAACACGCCCGGGCTCCTGATCAGCCTCGAGCTCGTAAACAAGTTCGAGCCCCTCGGGGGCTCCCGCCTCGACGCTGACCGCGATCGCCACGTCGCTCTCCACCACCCGACGGCCGTCACAGGCCGTGCACCTCGCCGTGATGCGTTTCCCTTTCCCTTCGCAGCGTGGGCACGCGTGCTGCATCTGCTGAATAAACCCCGGCGCGAACTGCACCCGGCGAACGACGCTGCCGGAGCCCTGGCACATGGGACAGGCAACGATGTCGCTGGGGCTCCGCGCCCCTGTGCCACGGCACGCCCGGCAGAGTTTGGTCTTTTGAAAGACCACGCGGTGCTCCGCGCCGGTGTAGGCGTCGCGAAGGGGCACATCCAGCACTAAGCTCAGGTTCCGCCCGCGGTCCGACGCCGTGTGGCCGCCAAAGAGGTGAAAGAAAGGGTGCTGCGGCTGCTGCGGCTGTGGCTGTTCGAGTTTTAGCACGCTCTCTATCCCAAGGATGTCGTACACTTTGCGTTTGCGCCGGTCGCCAAGGACTTCGTAGGCTCGTTGAATCCGTTGGTAAACCTTCCGGTTGGCCTCCCCAGAGACGTCGGGGTGATACTTCTTGGAGAGCCTTCGCCAAGCCGCCTTGATCGCTGACTCCGTCGCCTCATCGCGCTCTTTTTCTAAACCTAAAATAGCGTAAAAGTCTTGGTTGGGATTGGAATCATCAATTTCAGTCCGTTGGGACTCACCCGATGCTAAAGAGCAAAAGGATTCGGACAAAAGAAACCCCAGTATGATGATGGAGACCAATGTGGTGACTCTGGTACACGAATTGCCTAAGCAACCCCTTCGTGTACAAAAAGGGCTTAAGAACATGAAATCGCTTTGAGGATAGACAGAGCGTGAGACTAATGCGTTGAGGAATATATGTGAAATGGTATTTTTTAATAATAACTTTAAAACGAATATGCGCTTTTCCCTTGTTGGTCCCTGTATTCAACAACAAAAAAAAAGGTCATAGGACGGGTTGAACTCTCAAATATTCCCTTTAAATTCCCCTTCCAATGGATTTTACTTCAAAACTCACTTCAAAAAAAGATCTCATGATGCAACAGATGTATTCTGATGCATTATATAATTAGACCATATTATTCAATTTCGTTCCTTGATTTTTCACTATTAGATTAAGTATATTTCCCAAATTATAATAAATTGAAACTGTATGAAATAATGTTTTCCGAAATATAAAATTACAAATATTTAACCAAAAATTATCAGTATTTCAAAAAATTTTTATCCCTTCGAAATAATGGGAAGAGGGTCCAATTTTTTTCCATGCCTCACGAAGAGCCTCTCTGTGGTATAATAGTCTAAAATATAGTAATTTCCTCAAAATAAATCCATTAAAAAATCTATCTGTGGCATTATTTTGCATTTGAAACTACTATATATAAATTTCATCTAAATACAAAAATAAAGGAGATCTGAACATTAGATTGGTTCAACACAGAAAAAAAAAAATTTTTGAATAATTCGAAAAATTACCGCTGTAATAAGTTATATTCTATATATTTATATAGTATCTTATAGTACTTATAGTGTCGCCTTAAGTTAACATATTTGATAGAATCTTAATTCTTCACTAAAGGACCGTTCAAAGAAATCGAAACTGTCTTGGCCTCGGTGTATGACTCGAGTGACTCAATGCCTCCCTCACGGCCATACCCACTTTGTTTAACCCCACCAAAGGGCAGGGCAGGATCGTAGCTGTGCCATGTATTCACCCACACAGTGCCTGCTTCGAGGAAAGTCGAGCATCGCAAGGCCGTGTCCATGCTCTCGGTGCACAGGCCGGCAGCAAGACCATAGCCTGAGGCGTTGGCTCGCTGGATGACCTCATCAATGTCCTTGAACTTCATCACACAGGTCACCGGGCCAAAGATCTCCTCCTTGCATATCACCATGTCGTCCTTGGCATCGGTGAAGACCGTGGGCTTCAGGAAGTAGCCCTTGCCGTCAATGCGGGTGCCACCCGTCAGCAACGTCGCGCCCTCCTTCTTCCCTATCTCAATGTACCTCATCACGCGTTCGAGTTGTTCTTTCGAGATCAGGGGTCCCATGGTGGTCTCGGGATCGTTGCCAGGACCCACACGATGGCCCTCCACGCAGTGCTTCAGCTTCTCAACAAAGGTGTCGTAGAGGCTCTCATGGACGAAGATGCGAGAAGACGCAGAGCAAAACTGGCCGGAGTTCGCGAAAGCCCCAATCCTTGCCAAGGAAACCGCCTTATTCATGTCAGCATCGGCGCACACGATAAGTGCCGACTTGCCGCCCAGTTCCAGGGAAACCCTCTTGAGATTGTTCTTCGCAGACATTCGCAGCACCTCCCGTCCCACTTCACCTGAACCTGTGAAAGCGATCCTGTTGACATCCTTGTGCAGGCAAAGTGCCGAGCCAGCCGTCGGGCCAAACCCTGGCAAAATGTTCACGACGCCAGGGGGAAAGCCGGCTTTCTCGCAGAGCTCGCCAATCCGAAGTGCGGTGAGTGGTGTCTGCTCGGCAGGCTTCATAATAACGGTATTACCCGCGGCCACCGCCACCGGAAGCTTCCACGAGATCATCACCAATGGGAAATTCCAGGGCACAATTTGCCCGCAGACACCCACTGGCTGCCGCCGCAGCATGCTCACGACATTGCCACTGGCGGGTAATAATCGGCCACTCATTTTGTCAGCATAGCCCGCGAAGTAGCGAATAACACTCTCAGAAAAATCAACATCGCCTAAGGCTTCGCAGTATGGCTTGCCATTATCCATGCACTCGAGAGCCGCCATCTCCTCACGATCGGCGTGCAGGAGGTCTGCCAGTTTTGTCAATAGCTGGCGCCGTTCCGAGCCATCAGTAAGCCTAAACTTATTGAAGGCCTCGCGGGAAGCCTTCACCGCCAACTCCACATCCGCGCTGTCAGCCTCCGCGACATTGGCGATGACCTCCTCGGTGGCGGGGTTTAGGACCTCGAACGTTTTGCCTGAAACAGCGGGTACAAATTGGTTGTTGATGAAGAGATTTGACTGGATGTTCTTGACCTGAGGCATTAATCCCCGACGAATAAAACTTCGAAGCATGTTTGATTTATTTATATATATTGTATTAATAAATGTAAAATAATTAATTAGGACTGAAAACGTTAAAAAGCAACTGTGGTTGTTGAAAAATTAACAAAATCAAAAGGGAAGTGGTAATAGGCAGCCTGTGTTCACACAACATCACTCAACAATTGGGTGAAACAATACCATTCAAGAGACAAGCGTAAACCGTGGTGTATGCTGTTTCAAAACATTGGCAACAAGCTGATTCACATTTGTTGATGTAATCATTCGTTAACACAACCCTTCTTCTCTTTTTTTTGTCTTCCTTGTTTATTTATATTGTGTGCGCGCATGCATGAAAGTTGGTTATTTTTTAGCCCCAGTTTAACTACGCAATGTGAAAATCGAGCAAAAATAAGAATGATAGATCAAAGTAAGCATATTTGATTACATTAGCAGCAGAAGTCAACCCTCTCTTCCTCAAAATTCATGATATTGAAAATTACAACAGCAATAAAAAAGGCCGCAGTAGTGACGGAGAAAACCCCGCTAAAGCAACTCCCCACTTCCATGGCTAAATTGTATGATACCAGTTTGAAGGGGATATTCAAAATAATGAGTAGTAGGAACTAATTGAAGTGTGGCATGGTACCCCACCCACACTACAGTTTCAGGGAACTAAGCGAGAGAGCTCGATATCAAATCTTCCCACAGTGAAGTCCCATCCACACACTCACCCACACGCCGATGAGTAGTCCTAATTTCATATATAAAATCAAACCAAAATGTTACAGACAGTATAAAGATTTTATTTGGCATGAAAACTAACAACAACAGTGATTGTAATAATAATAATAATAATAATAATATCGCAAGACAAAGGGTAATCACATCTAAAAGACTTTCCCACTTTCGTGTGTAAAGCACGGGTCGGTGTCTTCCTCATCGCCGTCGAGCTCGCCTGTGAACTCGAGCTCCTCACCCATCAAGAACTTTAGGTAGCTTCCAAAGTCATCCGCGATCACGACAAAACTCTCCTGTGGATCCCGGGTGTACTGGATGATCTGGCCAATAGCCCCATCCTGCCCTCGCGCCGACTCGAAGTCAACAAACAACCGCGAGACGGTGATCAAAGGCTTATCCGGTTTCAAATCGGCGGGCGCAGGGATGTCCTGGCCCTTAGCGCTCGAGGACGACGACAAGCCATGTTGGCCCCCATGCATGCTGTCCGCGAAGGCCAACCAGAGGTCTAGATCGGCGTGAATATCCACTTGAGGGTCGACGTACACCTTCGGCAGAAACCCCAGCGGCGGTGGCGCGGAAGAAGCGCCGGCGTGTGGGGCCGCCGGGGCCTGTGTAGGCGATGCTGCGGTCTCGTTGGGCGTCGTCGTCTCCAGCAAGGAGGAAAAGCCCGCGGGAAAAGGATCGGCCGCGGCCCCCGGCAGCCCCTCCCGCTGCGTGCGTCCGTCGGGTAAGCGGTTTTCGACGCCAGACGCGCCGCGTTCTCTTCGCCGCCGTCCCAGCTTTTGTAAAGGGTTTATTCTGCCGCCCTTTACAGGTGCCTTCGCTAAGTTCGGCGGTACCGCGCGCACAATCTCGGCTTTTCCACTGTACAACTCATAAATGCTTCGCGGCTTCTTCAGCCCCACGCCGGCCTCCCCTGGTGGCTTATCAACCTCTGGAGATTGCACAGCTGAAACAGCATGAGTATCGCATGTCTTCGACAAATCTGAACGACTCGGAAGAGACCCACTTGGCAGGGGGAATCGCGGCTGCCGAAGAATCGACTCCACCGAGTAAAGATAATAGGGGCAGCTTCCCAGTGCGGAGCCTAAAATCGGCACGGTGATGTGGTTCGAGTTGATGGGCTTGGAATCGGTTCCGTTGAAGGTTGCCTTTAGAAAGGATGCGGCCAGGGAGGACGGGGAAGCCGCCGATGGCGTCTTACCGGCGCCGCTCGCTCCGACAGGGGTGGATTTCACCGCCGGACTGGTGGAGTCCAGAACGCCCGTAGGCATCTCCGCAGCCAGCATGGGCGCCCGCCAGTGCGTTCCGTTGACGCGCCGCAGAAAGTACACAAGTTCGGGCGGGGCGCCGGGGTAGGCCGCGCAGAGCCGCGCCACCTGCTCGTCCGTCGCCCCCGGCAGAGTGCTCAGCTGCCGCAGGTGCTGCGTGGATAGTCGCTGCCGCACACTGATAATGTAGGCATCCACCAAACGCCGCGCGATCTCCGGGGAGCGAAGGTTCATTAACAAACCAGTCAAGTCTACTATACCAGCACCGGTACTCGGGGAAGGAATTCGGATATCTAGCTCGGAAAGTCAGTATGTGCTTCCAATTAAATGGTTTAAAAAAAAAAATGCTTATACTGGTTCAATATGGAAGAAAATAGCACCGTGAAGGGGGAAAATAAAAATTTAAACATAACATTAAAGGGGAAAAAAATTGAAATATCAAATATCACGCTTTAAATCGATAATATTTATTACTGTTTCTCATGAAGACATTACTATGTATGCACCATATCCCATGACCTTTGAATCAAGTACCTGGTTTGAATTAAGAATGTTAAAATGAGATAGTTATTTTTTTTTAAAGTGAACAACTCCCATACATCCTTTCCAATGATTCATCACACATTGGCAACAAAAAAAACTTCTGATAATTGATATACAAGAACTGAATATTAATTCTATACAATTTTACAAAATCTACGAAAAATAATTATAACTATAATAATAATAATAATAATTCAACAAAACATAGATGTGAAAAGATAAATATGCGACAGTAAATATGTTATGAATAAATTTGAATGTATTCGTACTATCAGTACACTGAGGAAGACCTATTGGTTTTGTCGTATTGGAAATTTTCACTTTCCCACTCACGCGAATGTAAAAAAAAAAACCAAATGAAATGGAATACAATAAGACAACAAGTAAATTAATGTGTACGTTTTTTGGCTGACATCCCGTCACAAATCAACAATAGCATATACCAAAATTTAAAAAAAAACCTTGCAACTAATTGATCCTCTTTTGATAAGGAGCTCTTACACATAACTAGATTTTGAAATAAACCCAAACTCCTTTGAGTATATGCACATACACACTTACCTAAGGTTGACTAATTGTTGACAAGGGTGATAGAAAATACATCCATGCTCAAAAGCAAAAAAAATTTCTGAAGAAAATACAAAATAAACCTCTCAAATACATAGACAAACATACTACAAATTCATTTATGTATATATTTATTTATTTATTTATGTATAAGCAGCGCCTTTTCTAGGGTTTTCTCCGGTCAGTGTCATTGCTGCCCGCTATGATAGGTTAATCCTACCTAAACACGTCCAAACATCGACACTGTGAAGAATTCCCTAGTTTGGAACTTGTGAAGAAAGGGTGGAGTGGGGAAGGGAGTAATAGGTAGGTCACGGGGGCAGTCATCATACCCAACCGATCGCCTTCCTCCCCTCCCTCCCCGTCCCCCACCACCATCCACTCTACAATGGAACCCCCGTGATGATGTCATACGCCACCCCGCTCTCCGTGGGGATGTACCGGCCGCTGGGGGTACGTCGCGCAGGAATGGTCCATCCCCCCTGCGGCTCGCTTGGTTCCCGGTCGTCCCGGAGGCTCCATCTCCGGGAGAGGGGAAGGTGGTGCGGCCAATCCCATAGTGTGGAGCCCTCCACCACGGGACTGCGCGAACTCCCGCCGGAGGAAGAACTCAGGAGGCTGAGGCGTCGGGAAAGCCGCGCGGAAAGCGCGTCCGTCTGGGAGGTGCGCGCGGTGAGCGGGATCATCATCGGCGCCACCGAGGGGGCCCTGGAAAGGGTCGCAAGACTCAGCCTCGAAAGTGGGCGGGTGGAGAAGCCGGAGGCCTGGGAGTAGGTGGATGGGATTTGTCGGTGAAAGGAATTTCGCCTGAGGAAAGACCTATGACGCATTGGAAGGCCATAAGTCACGTTTGTGGTCGGCAGTCCGTAATACGGATCAAATCTCCCGAGTGCACTTCTGCCGGTAAGGCTGTGCTTACGTGTGAAATCATCGTCCTCGAAATCGAAGAGCGTGTGTGCACTCGGGTGATAGTTTTTTCGTGTACTGAAGCCCATCGCTGAACCATATATCGAATCCTGATTAGACAGGGGGGGGGTGCCCCACCTGAGCATACCCCTCTCGGTTACGTAGGTACCGTCAAAAAAACTGTCAAAAACTACGTAATTATTTGCCTGTGGGCTATAGGACCTGAGACCGTAGTGTTTGTCCAAAAAGCTTAAAAATTTTGGTCCTGGTCGATCAATGGCGATCCGTCCAGGGTCTATATTCTCCCTCTCAATCATTGTGCTGAAGAGGTGCTTGCCAAACCCACGCCGCTGGCAGGATTCATCAACGTAAAAGTCTAAAACACAGGTTGGTTCGACTTCCACCATCCGGCGTGTTGCCGGGTGTGTTAGGAAAAGTTTCTTCAAACCAACCTTGAGTATCCCAACACCACGGCCCTCGTGGATAAGTAAATAAAGAGTATAGGAGCTATTCTCGTGCAGGCGGGAGACGGTAGTAAGCGGCACGACAAGATTTTGCGACAATTGGCTCCGTGCGCCAAGAGTATTAATAGTGCTAAAGAGGCCTTGCTTAAACGCATCATCGTCAGGATTCCCTTTCAGAGTGCGTCGTTTAACATTATCCAGATCATGCGCCGTCCAGATGCTGACGCCATCGGGTAGATTGAGCAAGGGAAGAGTCTCCATGGCCATGGAAACAGGTCCGATTCTCCGACGCATCGGAGGGGATTAAATTAATAAATCTCACAATCCCTGTAGCCTTTGTTATATTTTGATTTAAAACCCTTCAAATGATGAAACCTTATGGGCACACATAAAATATGTGCTTAATTAGATATATATATATATGCGCGTATGGATAAGTTGAAATTCTTCCTTATCTCGTATTGCTGTTAAACTGATACTTAAATTAAAGTCAATCACCATAAAAAAGTCACAAGAGGTGAAAAAAATGCGACAAAGTGTAATATCTGCACAAACATAAATTGACAAAGGCCATCCACCCACTTATTGAACACTTCACCTCAAACTTCAACACACACATTCATATATCCCTGAGGAAATAAGTCATGTGGAAGAAAGCAAAATTCAAGCTGAAAAATTGAAAAAGAGCAATATCTAATCATATGTCTTGCATTAGGAAAGGTGTCAGCTTTCCTTAGGCCTTTTATATAAAGCTAAATACTTGAAAGTAAAATTTAATTAACACTAATAGTACATCAAATAAAATACACTACAGTGTTATATCGTTTAGTCAAATATTGTCATGCATTGCTTATCCGTAATATTACTTTCCTTTCAGGATAAAACTAGAAAAAAATATTCCAAGTACTACATTGTCATTAAGCTTACCCCGTGTGACTTACTCTAAACTCACCGCCTTCCTAGGTTTCTTTCGTAACAGTTGGTAAATCAGCGTAACTAACATTGAGCAAAACATGCCAATGATAAAGACAATTTGAACCCATTTAAGGAAAAAGCCAATTCCTTTCAGGTTTCGTACGTAGCCATTCATCATCCCCCCAATGGATGTATTTGCGGTATACCCCTCAAATGATCCCACCACAAATCCCAATACGGTGGGCGTCACGATCAACATCAGAAACGCGTTGTACAAGAAGCTGTGAATAAGCGTATCGTGGGGCTTCAAAGGGTAAATATTGAAGAAAAAAATCCAAAGCCCCGCCATGAGCTGGCCCTGGAAGGTGCTCCAGTACAAATAAAGCGAGAAGATGCTATAGCAAAAAATCCCTAAGAGACCAAAGGCATTGTGCAGCTTAACCAACAGGATGTTTAAAAGGGGATACCAATCGGCCAGGTTGGAAAGGATGATATGCAGCACCCAGACTGCAGCAACAATAAGACACACCACATTGATAACAAGTTTTCCGTAAACAATAAATGGTGAGCCACCCGCCTTCGTGTAAGACCAGATGAGATGCTCCTGTTCGCTTTCTAGTAAATAAACCTCATTTCGAAGGATGTGAATCTTCTTTTTAATCGCAAGCGGTAATTCGCTTCGGGTTTTCCTTTGAAGCCTTTTCCCCAATTCCAAAAGAGTATCCGCTTTCGCGAGGATTACATACATCCTCTCGGAAAATTCTAACGCGTTGATTTTCTTGATGCGATTTTTGAAGTCGAAGATCCCGACAATCGGAAACGAGATGAACCCCAGTCCGCAGTAGAACAACAAAACAAACCATCCAATACAAGAAAATATACCTATACAGTACGTCGTGAAGCCAATCCTAATCTCTGGCACCACAATAGTATACGTCCGGTTTAAGGAAACGTCAGTTTGAGATGTGGACATAACCTGCCCTGAAGTTACATAGTTTTGGAACGAGACCTTGGATACTCCAAAAATGGAGTAGCACGTCCCTACTATCAGCGCGAACACACCGATGACAATGAGCGTTGTGATCATCGCCTGAAGAAGCGCCTTCTTTGTTTTGGGGTGTTCAGGATCTTGAAACGAGTAAAAAAACATAGCAATGGGGCAAACCACGATAGCCATCAACATTACTAGCCACAACACTATCTCCCACATTAGTACCGTGTTCAACGTCTTTGAAAAGGTGTGCAAAAGGGTGGGGTCCGGCGCATCGGCGACGTCGTAAGTTACAAGCAACACGCCCCCCAGGGAGAGGACGATCGAGAGCACAAAAATACCCTTCCCCAAGAACGTTGATCCCTCATCCTCTGGAGATTGGAAATACAAAACAATATATGTCGCTACTATAATGAAAAGTATGGTGAATATAACAACAATCAGAATCAGCCACAAGTTCAACATATTGGCTTGAAAAAAGGGCAAGTATGAAGATGGCAAACTAGTTAAAATACATACTGCGTCACTAAGGGGTCAAAGGAGGGGGAGGAGAAGAATGTGAAAATATAGTGAATAAATCCATGGAGAAAAGTTGGAAACATCAATACACTCATATATATAGTTTAGAACATCTCTGCGTGTCATTTGTTGCAAAGTTATCCTTCTACTACGAGCGTTTATTGCTTACATGAAAAAGATCATGTGACGTATACAGTTACGCTACTGCTTTACCTTTCCTCTAATTTTGGCTACTAATAATCACTAATAACAATTTCTTGGGACCATTTCAGTTAAGCTTTCCGCATTATGAATACCTCGCTTCCATCATATCAGAAAAAATAAGGAAAAAAAGTTGGAAATGACCAAGATATATAACAAACACGTAAATGACAAAAAAAAAGTTCGACGTTCGGTTTCCATTCCACGATAGTGCACCTCCCTTGGTCTTTGCTTCCTCATCATCCTCGCTGAATATTTCCCAGAACATCTACATTCTACCTGGTATTCCCCTTCGATATTAAATAATGAAAACATACAGAAAAGACGCATAAAATAACGATAGTGGCTTCATGTTCACCCTTTCGTCTTCATTAATATCTATACACTGTTGTGAATGTCTCATTTATCTTCACAACACCATCTTATCAAGAGCCTCCTTCCTCCTTCGCAGCTTGTGCGCGACGGGCGCGCCGCTGCCTCTCCAACGCAGCGGCCTCCTCGGCCATCGCCTTCGCCTTCTCGAGTACAGACTTAATGCCGCCAACCATGTAAAAGGCCATCTCTGGTACCTGGTCGTACGTGCCCATCAACAGCCCAGAGAACGACTCCACGGTATCCTCCAGCTGTACGTAGTGTCCTTGCATGCTTGTGAACACCTCGGCTACCTGGAAGGGTTGAGACAGGAACTTGTTCACCTTGCGCGCGCGGTCCACAATAAGTTTGTCCTCCTCACTCAGCTCATCGATACCAAGCACCGCGATGATATCCTGCAGCTCTCGGTACTTGGTCAACATCTGCACGATGTCCTGGGCGACATTGTAGTGGTCCACATCAATCACGTCGGGGTCCATAATGCGCGAGGCGCACTCCAGCGGGTTCACAGCAGGATAAATCCCGGATTCAGCCACCGAACGGTCCAACACAGTCGTTGCGTCGAGGTGGGAGAAGGTCGTGGCCGGCGCAGGGTCAGTGATGTCATCCGCCGGCACGTACACCGCCTGCACGGACGTGATAGACCCCTTTGTCGTCGATGTGATGCGCTCCTGGAGCATACCGAGATCCTCCGCCAGCGTGGGCTGGTAGCCGACAGCCGCAGGGATGCGGCCAAGCAACGCAGACACCTCGGAATTCGCCTGCGTGAAGCGGAAGATGTTGTCAATAAATAAGAGCACGTTCTGCCCTTCCACGTCGCGGAAGTACTCCGCCATCGTTAGTGCAGACTGCGCCACGCGCGCACGCGCACCAGGTGGCTCGTTCATCTGCCCGTACACTAAAACGCACTTGGAGTCCCCCCTTAGGTCGATCACCTTGGACTGCATCATCTCCAGGTAAAGGTCGGTGCCCTCACGCGTGCGCTCGCCCACACCGGCAAACACCGAGAACCCACCATGGCCTTTCGCGACGTTGTTAATCAGCTCCATGATGATCACCGTCTTCCCCACGCCTGCGCCGCCAAACAGACCAATCTTCCCACCCTTGCAGTATGGCAGAATCAAGTCAATCACCTTGATCCCGGTCGTCAGGATTGCATCCTCGGCGGCCTGGTCCGAAAGCTTCGGCGCCTCGGTATGGATTGGCATCCGCATTTTCTCGCCCACAGGACCCCGCTGGTCGATGGCCTCACCCAGCACGTTGAAAATCCGGCCGAGGGTCTCGCGCCCCACCGGTACCGAGATATTCCCGCCCGTCGATACCACCTTCGACCGCAGCTTCAGCAGCTCCGTCGTCTGCATGGCGATGCACCGGCCGGTGTGCGCGTCCAGGTGCTGGACGATCTCTAGCGTCAGCGGCTCATCACGGCCGAGGTCCTCAACAACGTCCAGCGCCGTCAGCACCGAAGGAACCCCCTCCGCGAAGTGCACGTCCACGACGGCGCCGATCACCTGCGAGACGTGCCCAACCCGACCCTTGTGATCCGCCGCCGAGGCTGCAGAAGCCGGCGAAGCTGCAGAGGCCGCCGAGGCTGCAGAAGCCAGCGAAGCTGCAGAGGCCGCCGAGGAGACCCCGCGCACTCCCGCCACAGCGCGGACAACAGCACTGCGAACACGGGAAAGCATCACGTCAAGGACGATAAGTGGGTGTCGCTATGAACCACGCGTATAATTAAACCCACGGAAAAGGAAAAACTTATAAAGGATAAATAAATAAAACAATACTTAGAGCAATGTGTCACACTATATATATATATATATTATTATATAAAAAAAACTGTATAGTCCAACGAGGAGTGATGGGTACGATTCACCGAATCACATCACAAGTGAAAAGATGAAAAATAAAGACGGAAAAAAGGAATATAGGTTCATTTTAAAGTATCCCAACATGTATATGCTGGGATACATTATATCGATATCTATTTACCCTACCCCTTGCGAGTATTATTGATCGGTCATATTAAAATAGGAAGGGTATAAAAAAGCCGTGGATGTTACATCCTTGCCCATTTTTCTTTTTTTTTTTAGTTTAAAAATGAGAATAAATACAGTAAGAGGGAAACCACTTAACCATTGTCAGACGGCAATTAAAATGACAGAGGACTTAAAGAAGAAGGGGGGAGGGGGGAATAAAATGATAAACCTTTTCTCCCTCCCGTGTTCACATCCCCCTCTTCCTGAAGACTGCTAATCTTCTCTCTTGCAGAGCCATCTTTAGCTGGAGGCCTCCAAAGGGGCGGCAGCGACAACAACGCGGCTGTACACGCGGTGTTTGCTGGAGCACGACACCAGGCGGATCTGCTTTTCCCGGCAGAGCTGTTTGAGGGCCGCGGCGGCGAGGGAGACGGTGATCTTCAGCCGGTCCGAGATAATGGCGGGGGTAATCAGCTTGTACTTCGGGACCTCATTGCGGAGCTTCTCGAGGGTGTCCTTGTCGAACATCACCGCGTTCTGAAGGGCCTCGCGGGTTTGTCCCTTGTTCCACTTCTTCGTCGCACGCTTGCTGGAGTTGTTGGCCGCGGCCATCTTCGCCTTCTTCGTCTTTCCTTCCTTCGGCGGCATGGTGTGGGGATATTCTGTAGGGGATGTTGGTGCCTTTTGCTTCCCTTCTAACGTCAACAATAACAAAAAAGGGTAGATTAAACAGACAGAATAAGTAAAAAAAAACGAATATGCCATAATGTATATATTTACCATCAAGAGACGATGAAAAGAATAGAAAAATGAATTAGCTTAATAAATACGACAGAAAAGACCCCATCCCTTAAGCCACACTAGTCGAAATGAGGACCGATTAGTCGGTAAACTTTTCCGTCTTAAAAGAGGGTGGTTGTTTGTCGGAATCCGTCTGCTCATCATTTGTGTTCGTCGTGGTCGAGAACATTCCATAAGGAAAGGATTTATTCGGTGGAGCAAAAACATAATTAGCAATGCTCTGAGCCAGGCATTGTACTACAATCGGATTGACTGCATTACCGATAAGTTTATACACAGACCCGGGGCTCACCAGCGATTTAGGGGCCGCGTTGGACGCTTCAGATCCTCTCGTGTGGTTAGAATCCCTAGCACATCCACCCATCGCTAACGGCTCCCCAACCTTGGGATTAAGAACACGCTGGTGTACAGTGACGTCCTGCAGGTCACCCCTTCCTTCTCCATCCATGGTAAAGTGAATGTAATCCGGAATGCCTTGCAAACGCGCGCACTCTCGAATAGAGAAAAAGCGTAGAGGAGCCCGTTGACTACATCCCGCGGCTCTCGAAGAATACGCGTCGTCCAACGTAGGATCGTGTGGCTTCTCGGGGTAGTCATTTCTGGACGTCGCCGTTTTGGCCTCAACTTCAGCACGCAAGAACGCCACAAGGGCGTCTTGAGCGATGAAGGGGTCCTGATAAGGTACAAACTCCGAGTACAGCTGAAAACTTGTGCGATAGCTGCCCATCAACGTGCGAGCTTTGCCCAGCACATCCACAAGGCGCCACTGAGGGTTTAGACGAAAGGTGCGGCTCCGCTGTACTGCCTCCCACTGAGTTGATGTGAGTACCAAAGATGAGATAGGCGGACCGCTGTCAATCCCACCGCGAGATCCTGGAAGGTCATGCTTAATTAAAAGGTCCCCGACGCATTTATAGGGAGCCTGATGGCCAGCCTTGGCAAGTAACCCCAAGGCGTGATTAAAGATTTCGTCCACAGGGTTACTCGGCGAAAATGGATGGTCGTTCGAAATGGTATGAGATAGGACGTCCTGACGCACGCCAATAAAATATACCCTCTGGCGAGTTTGAGGACTCACAATAGAACCATCAATCACACGATAGCTGACGGCATACCTAATTAGTGAGGATGAAGCATCGGTCCGCGACGAGGTAAAATGAGACCCTGCCATGGGATCATCACGGGACTTTCCACGTCCATCATCGGGAATTTCCCCCTGCGCCTCACCGCCAGGCAGCCGCGTGGAGTGGCCCGGGCACGCTAGACATGACAATATCTCACAAAGTTGATCGCCCCCTTCCAAGTTCACGATGTTGCTAACGTTTTCTAGCAAAAATGCCTTTGGTCGGCTTGCCCGCAGGACTCGAACGACCTCATAGAATAGCCATCCCTTGCGATGCCGCAATCCTGTGGCGGGTCCTGACTTCGAAAAGCTCTGACAAGGAAATCCAGCTGTCAAGAGATCATGCGAAGGAAATAAACAGGATGGGATCTCCGTAATATCCCCCAGAAATGGAAATTCGGTTGTTTCGGAAAGGGTAGACGTATCCCCTCCTGCATTAACGCCGTGCGTCGGTAGGGAGGTGGTGGGAAGAGGTTGTGGCTCTGGACTCGGTGAAAAGCGCAAAAAGTTAGCGGCGTACACTGCGCGGGCCTCCGGGGCGACCTCAACCGCAAACAAAGAGGCCCCGCCAGCGCGCTCCAGCCCCAGACGAAACATACCAATGCCGCCAAAAAGCTCCGAGAAGGTGAAGTGCGCCGCCTCCGCATCGCTCGATTTATTGCCAGAAGTTCGAGTGGTGGTGGAGGAGGTCAAGTGGTCGAACTTTAGGCGCTCAAGCGCCGCTAGCGGCGCCGGTAAGGATTCTCCCCCGGGGTGATTGTGAAGGGGGGAGATTTCGGTTGGATTACGACCCACCCCACGACATGCCGCGGAGTACACCCGCAGCTGCTTTATATAGGCCACCGGGGGAAAAGCCGTCGGGCGCTTATCCCCCGCCGCATCGGCCGGAGGCGTGGCTAGAATCTGAAAAAGCTCATCCATGGAGAAGTCCCCAACGGTGTGAACCGCCCAGTAGTCATGGACGCCGTCCTCCACGCGGCTTTCGAATTGATGTAAAAAACACTCGAGAGGGGATTGGGACGGCCTCTCCCTCTCAGGATAACAACAGGGGTAGGATACGAGGGTGGTTAGAACCTGGCCGCCCTCCCACACTCCCTCGTCTTCCGTCGCTCTCAGGTGGGGATGCGGATCGCCGCGCTCACGCACAAACAGCTCCCTCCGCACAAACCGCCCATCCACCTTGTCCAAGGGTAAATGACCTAATTCACAAACTCCCACACGAAAAGGGGTCACATTTCGCCCTGGCTTGAGAAGGTTCTCGCATTGCTTAATCTTTTTCGCCCCCACCCTATCGTCCTCCCTGGGCATCGATTGTGGTGTACTTGTCCCTTTGCCAGCAATGTCTCTAGCTGAATTCTCGACCTCGGCCCTCTCAGAGTAGGGATAGCGGCGAAGCCTCTGAATTAAAGTCTGCAATGAGGCCTTCCCGTGTACAATAAAGGCCCCTATGGGATAACCTCCGACATAGCTGGGGTACGCATTGGCAGACATGACCGGTCCTTCCTACGTGAGGTCGTTGTTTTCGGTGATACCCCTGTGCTTTTGAGGGTCAATTACACATCTTCACTTTCCACAATAGAGAAAAATAAAATGAGATTCAAAATAAAAAAGTTGGAAGTATAAGATCAATCAGAACTACGTCAGATCCCATGCGACCCAAACGCGATGTGCTACAGCAAATTGATCGCCACCACAAGTTATATTTATCGCAGATATCCCAGCGTGATGAAATACGTATGCGCACCTGGGTGTGGTGGGAAGTGTTAACGGCAAAATTTAATATTTTATAAGTATTAAACGCTTAAACAGTAAAAAACAAAAAACAACAGGAACAGCGAGGAAAAATCCGCATCTGAAGGTTAGTTTCTTGTTTTTTTTTGCTTTTTCTCTCGCTTTAAAAATGTCATGTTCAAAAATAAATGATCGCGACAGCTCGATGGTTACGGACCCCTTTGAAATTAATAGCGTCGGAAACGGTTCTCTCTTGACGACAAAAAGGAAAAAGGAAATCTAAATGAACGCACACAACCACATGTGACTCGCGTTGGTGGTCTCATTGGGTAAGTGTTAATGGTTATTTTAATTTCCGAAACGCCGAACTTTCCAGCACATCGGCAACGCCTCTAACGCCTTCGCTAGGTTTCTTTCCAGCACCAACACATGGCGACCGTCTTTCATGACAAAAGCCGCCTCAACCGATACCCGTCCGATCATCTTCCACCCGCGCGGCCCGGCATCGATTAACCCACGGCTAAAGTATCCTAAATAACGGCAGGACTCCTCACGGGGCCGCCGATCGTTCGGGCGCAAAGCCTCTTCGGCGACGCCCTCGGGGGCGTTGGCGATCCCTCCCTCGACCTGTCCATCCCCGCACACCCTAGCGATGAACACGACGTCGTGCGGCAGGGACGTGGGCAAAGCGACCTCCGCGGGGCCATCTTCCGCCGCGAAAGAGGCCAAACCACGGCAAAGATACCGCCCTTCCGCCGCGGCGATGCCGATAACGCGATCCTCCACGCAGGAGGCGCCCCCACCGGCGCCGCGGCGGATCGTCGGGATCGCGCGCGCCATGCGCCAGCCGTCCGCGGCGGTGGTGGCGTCGTCCAGCCGCGGGGTCCCATCCGGCGTGAGCGCGCACCGCCAGACCCCCCCCTCGCCGTACACCCAAAGCCCCCCTGCGGTCCCGGGGGAGGGGCTGGGGGAATGAATGAGCCGCCGAGCCCGCAGCCCCCGCGCGAAGGCGGCCGCGCCTTCCGCTTTCAAGGCCCCGTCCTCTCCTTGGAAGTCCCCGCCGGGCGGGCCGGGCCGCGGCCCCCCCGCCCCAAGGTCCCCCACAAGCCTCGTGCGCACCACCGGGAAGCCCTCTGCGAGGGTCACCGACACCACCTGATCGTCCAAAAGCAGGTAAAGACTCCCCGCGCGGCCTCGCGGGCTTTTCTTTTCAGTCATTTCCCCCTCCGTTGGGGGGCTTTCACGTTCCTCGCGCAGGGCGGGGGCGAACAGCGCGTCCACCACCCCGCGCTCCGCCGGGAGCTCGAGGACCTCGTCGATTCGCTGAATCGCCAGGGCGGCCTCGGCGCCGCGGCGCCAACGGACCCGGCAGAGCCCCACGCGCTCGTCCGTGGCGAAGGCGAAAAAGTCCAGCCGGGGGTCGCACCACAGCCCGGAAAGGTGGAATCCCCCGCGGATATTCTGCGCGAAGAGCGGGACCCAAAACCGGCGATGGCCGTCCATGCGAAACGCCTCCACGCGCCCCAGGCGGGCCTGCAAAAGGACGTCCTTGGCCCGCGCGAAGGCGAAAGCCTGGGTCGTCGCGTTCAAATACATCGCGGGGTGGGTGAAAAGACGCGCGAGCGGGGCGTACAGCACCGTCCCGTCCCGCGAAGCGGACAACAACAGCCGCCGCCGGGAAAAAAGGGCGAGTTGGGAGGCCTCGTGGTAGTGCGTGCGGCGTTTCACCTCGGCGGGGTACCAAACCCCCGAGGCCTCCTCTTTGCCGTCCGCATCGATCAACCCGCGGCGGTAGGAGCGGAGGGATTCATGCCATCCCGAGGCGTAAAACCCGTCGCCATCGCTGAGGATGGTGCGCACCGGGCCTTTATGCTGGGAAAAGCTGTGCAGGAGGACGCCGTGGTGGGCGTCGAGGATGACCACATCGCCGGTGGAGGTCCCGACCCCGACGGCGCTCGCCGTGAGCGCCACGCAAAGCCCCATCCCCTCCGGCAGCCGCGTCGTCCAAAGCGATTCATGCCGGCCTAACCCCACCCCTCCCGGAGTCTTCGCCGCGGCCGCGTCGGGGTCGGGGTCGAAGCGCCAGGCGTAAATATTCCCCGCATCATCGCTCCCGACGGCGAGCCGGCGCCCTGCGGAGGCGGCGACGGCGAGCGCGCGGTCGGCCCCAGGGACCCCCGGGATCACCCGCGCCAACTCCAACCGCCATCCCCCCGAAAAAGTCGAATTCGCGTGGACTTTCAGCTGATGCCAGGCCCCGTCCGCGATCGCGGCGAGGACGTGCACCCCTCCCACGACCGTAAAGCCCCAAATCGCGCCCCCGGTGCGCTGGTAAACCCACACGGGGAAAAGACTCGCCGCGTCAAAAAGCACCAGCTGGCCGGACAAAAAAGAAGCGATAAAAAAGCGACTCGCGGGGATTCCCCCACCGCCGCCGGGGCCTTCCGCCGAGAAATCGATAAATTCAACGTGCGTGATGGTGCGATGGGTGCGGCCGCCCGTATGGCGGACCTGGGTGAAGTGGGGAATGTTCTGGTGGTACGCCACATCGTAGAGAATGAGCGAGGCGTTCTCGCGCGCCACGACGAGCACCCGCTCGTCCGGACTCACCGCCAGGCAGGCAATCCCGCTGATATCCGGCGCGATGACCTTCGTTCGGAGGATGAAATCATCCATCGCGGTGGAATCCTCAACCTCCGCCAACGCCCCTTCCCTCGGCTTCCCTTTGGGACCCGCCTCGTCCTCGTCAAGGGAAAGAATCAGCGAGCGCTCACGGGTCTCTTCCGAAAGGCCCCCCGCCGTGCGAGAACGTTTGCGTTTGGGATCGCGGACGTTGGGCGCCGTCTTTTCCCCCTCCCTAGGGCTTTGGGATGTTGTCGGATGGATCCGAACGGAGGATGGCGTGGGAACTGGGGTTTTCTTCCCCTTGGGGCCTCGCTTTTGCGCGCTTTGAGGGGTTTTGGGGGTTTTGGAAGGGCTCGACGAGCCATCCCGGGCGTTGGACGGGGAGGACGGCCGCGGCGAAGGCGTCGCCTCATCCGCCGGGTGGACCGGTCCGGGAGTGAGGGAAAGGGTCGCCGAGGCCGACGAAGGCGAGGTCGAAGACGGCGTGGGTTTTTTCTTGGATGGCATGTGGAGTTCTGAAAAGGGAGACTTTCAGAGAAAAAGGGAGGGGAGAGGTTCAAGCTGCCTTGTTTATCTCTAGTAATGGTGGGTCGTTACGTTTCGTGTTTCCCGCCCAGCTGAAGCACGTGTCAAACTGGTTACTACCTCCTCTTTATATTCTTCACTTCGGATTTATTGCCCGTTTGGTTAAATTTAAACGGATTGTGAAGACACAAAGGTGAAATGTAAATACAAAAATCACCAAAATGGTCCAAGAGAAAAAAAATGAACAAAGAAAAAGAAAGTAGAATAATAACTACAATTACTACCATGAAAAGTCGTCGTCATTGTGCAGTCAATAATAATAATAGAAACTGAAGATAACGTTTACTTACCCTCCATATTGCCGCTGTTGTTGGGGTTGGTTTTTATTGCCCCAACACACCATCCACAAACACATATATATAATCAATATAATGCAAAAAAATGTCATGCTCCAAGTCTGAAATTCCTCTTAACCATAGTAGAATATGGTGCTATTATACTCCCCTCCTCTCAGTACTGACTCGCTTTACTCCTTTAGTTTCTCGAGTATGCTCAGCGGCAATAAGGGGACGTACATATGCTTTTTTAAATTCCATATCACCTCCGCCCCAGCTCCCAGAGCCCTGTTGGAACTGGTGGTGGTGGTGGTATTTCGAGTTAGATAAGTATCCATCGCGCAGTCCTCCAAGGCCTGGAAATAGGGCTTAAAAGAGAGAATCGCCACGGATGGGGTAGGAATCCCTGCCGCGGCTACGGCTGTCGATGATGATGGCGGTGGCAACACAAGAGCCATCTTCGCACACCACGAAGCTTTAGAAAGACCGTGAAGGCAACGGCCACTGCCTTCATCAACGGAAGAAGTTGACCCCTCGCGATGCTCTCCCGCATCGGACGAGAGTTTGGACCGCTCCAGGCTCATAAAATGCCTTTGCAGCTCCTCTACAGCACGACTAAAGTATCTTCCGAAGCGTTGGGTTTCCCCAAGCAGATCCTCCACCGCATCAGTCTCACTGTTCATGGAGGTAAAACGGGATAACGCGGCATCAAGTTTAGCCTCCGGGCTCAACTCGTCGTCAGGGGCCTCATCAAATCCTGGAAGAGATCCCACCGTCAGCATCAACCGTAGCTGACTATATCGCTGAACAAGTCCGCGAACCCGTCTTCCGTTCTCAATGAACGCCTCAACTTCGCAACCCGTCGTCGGCAAGTACAGCCACGGGCGAATGCAGAGATAAACCACCTCTGGGTTCTCGTGGGAGATCCGGCGCCCTCTGGTAAGCCTTCTTGAGCTTTGCGTTTTAAACTCCTCAAACGCACGTCGAAGACGCTCACTAAACCGAATTGCTCGCAGCGCCTCGAGCACGTTGGTAAAGGCATTGCATTGATTAAGATGATAAAAAAGGCGCTGGAGGAAGATATCCCGCTCAAGCGGCGTCGGGGCGCCGTTCGGGGGAAAAGGGCAGACCTTGCGCAAGCGCGGTAGACCCTCCTTGTGCTCGCAGTGCAGAGCCCAATCCCACGGCGAGCTCCCTGGGAAGCTGAAGCGCGGAAAAAACGGGCCGTTCGATAAAAGTGAGGGCCCGCCAAGGCGACAAGCCTCCTCTACGCGATCTTTCATTTCCATTAACACGGCGTCGTCGCTACCGCTGCCGTGTAAATAACGCTCCAACTCATCTATGGAAAAGGGAACAAACACACTCGGAAGGCGCTCGATGGAGGGGGAGCGAATTTGCAGTAACCGTTCCTCCGATAGCTTGAAGTTTATCAGAAGGTCGTCCACGGCCCTTTGCTCTTCCGCACTAAGCCCCCCTGGGCCTTGCATTCCGCTGTCGTCAAGACGAGGGCGCTTTCGAAGTGTTTTCTGATACACCAAGCGATGAATATGATGGCAAGACGCTCCAAAATAGCAATCCATTTTATCCAGCGTATTCCTACACCATTTGGGCACCACCTGGCCGCGGTACGTCAATTCCAACCCACGCGTGTTTGCCAGCTCGCTTTTTAGAACCGTCTCCCCTTCGATCACGATAGTTGGGGTGTAGACCGCCTCCAGGGGTGGGGGCTTTTCTTTTTCCACAATGCGAAGACGAAGAGGCTCCACGGGGGGAAAAGACTGCTCCCCCTCTTCTTTTTTTCCTTCCCGGTTGCGTGTGGTCCGTGGCTCGGGGGTAATGGTAGCTTTGCACGCCTCCAGCGCCTCCGCCTCGCTCGCATAGAGCGCGAGGCCGTAGCCTTTGGTCTCGAGATGCATCACCAACATCAGCCCGGAGGTGTGATCAGCGAGAAGGCGGCGTAAACGCTCGTAGCGCGGATCGCGATTAGGTCGCGTGATCATATTCGCCTCCCGTTTGGCGTCGTTAAACAACGGCTGCAGGACAAAATCCGGAATCCCGCTGATAAACACGAACGTGCGCATGGCTAGACCGGGAGAGCGCCAAAATGGGTAATGGTTGTTGGATTGATTTAGTGTATTTACTTGACGTAATATTGGTATCCTCTTTTTGTTAGTTTATCGTTCTTGTTTCTGATCAATACAGGTGTGGTTGTCTACCCTTAGATGCCTCCACCGCTTCAAACAACAGCTGACCCTGGTGAACAAGCCGAGAAATCGAAAAAGAAAAGAGAACAAAATTTGTCTTCGAATAAGACATTTAAAATGTTAAAACAATCATCATCATCATCCCAATCCTCAATACCCACTTTACCATAACCTCGATGAGAATAAATAAAAAATATAGAGACTAAAAAAAGAAAAACACCTGAGAATTCCCAACCCGTCCTTGGATCTTCCTTCCAGCCTCCCACACCACCCCACCCCCTATTGGTGTTAATCACAATGACAGCCACACCCCTCCACCGCGCAGACGCGGTGCGCGGCGAACCATTCGCGGAGGTGGTGCGCGTGCCCCCCGTGCGAGCAGGCCGTGCACCAGGCCAACGACTGCTCCGCGTCCTGCTGGTGCAGGGACACGGGCCGCCCGCACACCGCACAGCGCAGGGGGGTGTTGCTCACGGCCAGCACGAGGGTCTGCAGCTGCGGCGGATGTAACAGGCCGGGCCGGCCCCCCCTGGGAAAGCCCCC